CGGGAGGGAGGGAGGGAGGGAGTTGGCAAGGAGCGACCGAGAGGGGAGAAAGGTATACAGGGATGAACAGAGCAACGCCACGAAACTGTTGCTGCGAGAAGTGAAAACGGACAGGATGGAACATGGGGAGAGAGGGAGGCAGAGAAAGAAGGAGGGAGGGAGGGAGGAAGGGAGGGAAGGAGCACCTGGACGTCGCGTGTGAGAATGGGTTGACGGTGAAGGTGGAGGGAAAGGGCACGAAAAAGTGCCTCCGAGGCAGGACGGACGTGGCGGTGGCGGTCCGTGGAAGGAGGGAGGGAGAGAGGGAGGGAGGAGAGGCTGAAGGAGGAGGAGGTGAAAGAGCGCCAGCCCTCCATGCTCTCAGCGGTTGCCAGAGTGTCGCCCTCACAGGCGATGGCCAGGAGAGGGCAGGGGAGAGGGAGGGAGGAAGGGAGGGAGGAAGGGGGGGAGAGCATGTAGGCGTCGACTGCAGCGAGGTCAGCCTTGAAGAGGGGGAGGAGGGTTGTCCTCGTCTCTTTGCTCTGCGCGAGGTGGGCGGACAGGGCGCCGGTGGAAACAAGGAAGGCAAGGAGCTGGGGCGTGGGGAGCGAAGAGAGGCGGGTCGAGTAGGACGAGGGGGAGGACGAGGCGGGAGGGGAGGGGCAAGCGGAGATGACAATGCTGTGAGGCGGCAAGCGGTAGATGTCGATTAAAGCGCGCGCGACCTCCAACGCTAGAAGACCCCCCATAAAACTGTGGCCGAAGAGGACGAAGGGCTGAGCCGGAGCTGGCGCTCTTTCTTTTCCTGGGCCTTTTTTTTGTGCATCTTTATTGTTCAGGGAGCTGCTGATGGCGTGGGCGAGGTGATTCGCCATGACGCGTACATTCTTTGGATGCTTCGTTATTGATTTCCCCAGCCGGGCCGGGAGCACGAGGGTGACAACTTCCACGTAGGGAAGCTGGCGCCAGTCATCAAAGATAGTGCTGGTAGTTCCCTCCCAAGGGAGACGGTAGAGAAGGAAGCGCGATGGAAGGTTATTGGTGGTGGCAGAGGCGGGGGGGGTAACGAAACATGCGCGTAGTTCCTCCCCTTGCAATGGCGCCACAGGGGATGGTGGAATTGTAGAATTTTTAGCCGCGCAACGGGAAGCAGTCGATGGTCTGCTTCCACAGCAACCCATGGCTCGCACTTGTGAGTGACTGGAGGTAGATGAGTGTGAAATTGAGTTTTTCCTGGCTGTTACCTTTAAGCGAGGAGAAATTGAACAGGCTGTCGAAACCCGTCCGAAGACAAAAACATTCAATGCCTTGGATTGCCAAATCCACGACACCAGACACCAAGCATGTATTCGCCCTCGTAGACATGAAGTCAGCTTATAGAAGATTTTAAGCCAGCATGTATGGACCTATCCCTTGGTACAGGAAGAACAAAATACGCCAAGCGCGGTCCTTATCGGGGGGTAGGAAACGTGCCGTCACGGAGTCAGCAAGACGATGCCCGCACCTAGAAATTCTCGGCACAACCACGACGGCTTTCCACAGTAAACCTCTTTATGGCACGTTCAGCTCCTGCCATACGTCAGGAAAAGATGCCAGATTTGTCCTTAATCAAAGAATGATGCAGTCGCTGTGACC